ATTCGAACCCGCGGCCCTCAGATTACGAGTCAAGCGCTTTAACCATCTGGCCATGCCGGGCGTACGGGCTAGTATTGACGATTCAAGTTTACGTCTTAAACGTCTCGATGTGCACGTGAAGTTGAAAAAAAAATTATTACAATGAATTATAAAATATTTTGGAAACATTAAATAAAATAGTGTTTCTTTCCCCCTTAGAATTGTACATTTGATTTTTATGTTCCATCTTTGATATAACTCTTATGGACAAAAATATCCAAATCTTCATTAATTGCTAAAGTAATTATGAATAGTGGGATTAAAAATGGTTAGTAGGGCAAAAAAATAGTCCAAGTATTAAAAAAAAACGTTTATTTAAACCTCCCTGACAATCAGTAGTTCTTTACGAGTATGTGTACTTTCTGGATTTTTCAGCAGCCGATTAGATACGTGCCAAACTTTCTAATAACCAGTTACATATTTCTAACCAAAAAAGGGGGGGGGGTAGGAGGGAACGTTAAGTTTATTTTTAAGAATGTGTAAGGTTGTATGAATACTCGCATCAAGGTAAACTGTTAGAATGTAATACCAATTTTAAAAAAAAACATATTAGAACGTAGTAACCATTGTAAACGCGTTAGAATGTAGTGCTCATGTCATAGACACAAGTATAAGTCTAAACTTTAATTGGACATTATTTCAAACCGGCTGACAGTAGCGATGAATATATGTGTGTGTGTGTGAATGTGTGAATATAATATACTACTTTTAACTCCCTAAGTAGCCCCCCAGTGGTACAGCGGTATGTCTGCGGACTTACAACGCTAGAATCCGGGTTTCGATACCCGTGGTGGGCAGAGCACAGATAGCCCATTGTGTAGCTTTGTGCTTAATTACAAACAAACAAACAAACTCCCTAAGTATCGCTCAAAATAAAAAGCTAAGCACGTACGTTCGATTAAGTTGTCGCCTCAACAACAAATTTATGTCAAATAGAAAAGAAAATACGGTTATGACGAGGTGAAGTTAAGCATAAAATTGGTGTAATGTACCTTTTTGTTATTTCGTATAACATAATGTCGGATGGAACAGTATCACTTTGATAATTAATAACCGCCCCCCCTAACACGCACACACACACACACACACACACATGCGCAAACAATTTTAAGGGAATGTTAAACAAAAAGCATTAATGATTCGTTAATCTCCATTCAAATTATTAGTTCATCTTAATGTAGTAAATATTTCATTTGGAATGCTCTCCAAAATTAGTTACTATTCACTTGAATAATCCGCCAGTTGAACTTACATCAACATATCGAACTATAGGTGATTTATACTTAGGCTTAAACTGATCTATACAGCTACAGCTGGTCGTAATCTCATGTATCCGGGCCAAGCGTGGCTCACTGGTTAGTGTGCTTGGACTAAGTCCGAGGATTTACGGTTCACGACCCGTTGCTGTGAAAAAAAAAAGAAAAACGTTTTACACTTTAAGCCCGTGAATGCGTTATAAAAGTGACTTTATAACGCCTCAACGGCTGAAAGGGCGAGCTTGTTTGGTGGAACGGGGATTC